AGTTCTTCTTTGTCTCTTTAGGGGGATCCAGATCTAAAGACCATCCAGGCATAGTTTAGATAATTCAATCTACCCTGGACAGCCTCTGCTGAGGTTGGGGGTAGGAAGGATCTTTAATTAATTATCCCTTTCTGCTCAAATGCTGACAGAGCCTTTGACCTCAGACCTTGATTACACAGTAGGTAGCCAATAAGGGTGTGTCATTCTTTCATCTGGTTATGATATCATGGCAAGAGTTAAATATAATATTTCTCTCATGGAAATCTGCATTTATAACACATTGTTAATAATACATTTTACAAACAAATAGCTAGCTTTTTATCTATAAAGAATATGTACAGGCCGGGTGTGATGGCTCATGCCTGTAATCCTAGCATTCTGGGAAGCCAAAGCAGGAAGATCATTTGAGCTCAGGAGTTCAAGACCAGCCTGAGCAAGAGTGAGACCCTGTCTCTACTAAAAATAGAAAAAAATCAGCTGGACAACTAAAAATATATAGAAAAAATTAGCCAGGCATGGTGGTGCATGCCTGTAGTCCCAGCTACATGGGAGGCTGAGGTGGAAGGATTGCTTGAGCCCAGGAGTTTGAGATTGCTGTGAGCTAGGCTGACACCATGGCACTCTAGCCCAGGCAACAAAGAGAGACTCTGTCTCAAAAAAAAAAAAAAAGAATATGTATGGATCACAAAGAAAAACAAAATGACCGCCCAAAGAAAACATGAACTAAATAAATGAAGAAGCTAGGCATGGTAGCTCATACCTATAATCCCAGCACTTTGAGAGGCCAAGGCAGGAGAATCACTTGAGGCCAGGAGTTTGAGACTAGCCTGGACAACTTAGACCCCATCTCTACAAGAAATTTAAAGATTAGCTGGATGTCATGATGTACTGTAGTGTAGCTACTTGTTTTGATCAGGGTAGCTTTATACTTTGAGACTTCCTTTGAGTTAAACAATGTTCACACAATTAAGCAATGCCTAATGCGATGCCCAAAGCAGTACCTGCCAGTTCCCTGTGTCAACTTCTAGGAAGTTATCTTAAAGAATGAATAGATAGGACTTGTGTTCAGAGTCATGCATGTTCATTGCAGCAACGTTACTATGGCAGGAAAAATAGAAATAATATACATCAAGATACTCTTCTAGACATTGGCCTAGGCAAAGAATTATGAAGAAGACCTCAAAGGCAATCACAGCAACAAAAAAATAAACAAATGGGACCTGATCAAACTAAAAAGCTTCTGCACAGCCAAAGAAAGTGTCATGATAGCAAACAGACAACCTACAGAACGGGAGAAAATTTTTGCATGCTACACATCCGATAAGGGGCTGATAACTAGAATCTATTTAGAACTCAGGAAAATCAGCAAGAAAAAATCAAACAACCCTATCAAAAAGTGGGCTAAGGACATGAACAGAAACTTTTCAAAAGAAGACAGAATAATGGCCAACAAACATATGACAAGATGCTCAACATCTCTAATCATCAAGGAAATGCAAATCAAAACCATAATGAGATATCACTTGATGGCCTTTATCAAAAAGTCCCAAAACAATAAATGTTGGCGTGGATGGGGAGAGATAGGAACACTCCTACACTGCTGGTGGGACTGCAAACTAGGACAACCTCTGTGGAAAGCAATATGGAGATACCTTAAAGAGATGCAAGTGCATCTACCATTTGATCCAGCAGTCCCATTACTGGGCATCTACTCCAAAGAACAAAAGACATTCTATAAAAAAGACATCTGCACTCAAATGTTTATAGCAGCACAATTCACAATTGTAAAGATGTGGAAACAACCCAAGTGCCCATAAATACATGAGTGGATTAATAAAATGTGGTATATGTATACCATGGAGCACTACTCAGCTTTAAAAAACAATGGTGATATAGCACCTCTTGTATTTTCCTGGCTAGAGCTGGAACCCATTCTACTAAGTGAAGTATCCCAAGAATGGAAAAATAAGCACCACATGTACTCATCAGCAAATTGGTTTCATTGATCAACACCTAAATGTGCATATAGGAATAACATTTATTGGGGATCGGGCAGATGGGAGGGCGGAGGAGGGGATGGATATATACGTACATAACGAGTGTGATGCGCACCATCTGGGGGATGAACACACTTGAAGCTCTGACTCAAGGAGGAAGAAGGGCAAGGGCAATATTCCTAACCTTAACATTTGTACCCCCATAATATGCTGAAATATAAATAAATGAAAATAAATTAAAGAAACTATATTTGCTACATCCATAAAATGAAATATTATATAGTCATTAGGAATGGTGACATTGGCCCTGGTGATGGGTAGCAGGGCGTGGTGCCCATAGGTCAGTCACCCGCACAGGAGGGGAGTGCGGACCTGGAGGCAGTGGGGCTGGGGCGCGCAGGCGCAGACACCGCGGGGCCCCAGATTGGTTGGAGGCCGCCACTGCCCAGCGAGCCCGGGATTGATACCGCGGCGGAAGTGACGGAAGCCCCGGAGGAAGACAGCTTCCCATGGTCCCTGTTTTCCATCTCTGAAGCTGAGACTGATGCTATGTTTGGTTCTATCAAGGACGTTGTCATGGATGCTGAGTTTCAGCTACTGCAGAGACATTTCATGGACAAACACTACCAGGAGCTTGAAGACACGGAAGATAATAAACTCACCTGCACGCCAATTTTTAATGACTGCCTTTCTTTGATAGAAAAATATATTGAAGAACAACTGCCAAATCCAACACGGCGGCTTTCACAACAACGTTGGAGCAACGTAAAGCTGGTGTGGCCAGGGACAGAGGCAACATGCTGCCACATTTACGGATTTTCTGGCATTTAAAGAGATGTTTCTGGACTACAGAGCAGAAAGGGAAGGCCGGGGACTGGATTGAAGCAGTGGTTTGGTGGTGACTTGGTTGTGCAAAACATCTTCAATGCCCGGAACGATCTGCAGCACTAGCTCCTGCCCCCAGGTGTGGACAGCCCAGGCCTCATAGGCTGAGAGAGGTGTCTGTTTGTAATGACAAGAGAATACATCTTGGAAGGATGGACTCTGCAGCTCTTCATTAATGTTAAGTATTTATGGATCAAAAAGATAATTACCCGACTCTTCAGGAATCTGTGCTTTTCCTGAAATATATTCTTGTATTCAGTAACCCCACTGCTCCTACCAAAGTAGACCCCTCTCTCCAGCACAGCTGAGAGTCAGACTACTCTGGGGCAAGACTGTGTCAACCATTCCACCTGGAAGACCCCCTCCCCCAGTGCTAAGTGTCCTAAGTCTTTCACTACCTCCACCATCCCTCCCACAGGAGTTCAAAAGAGTGTCCTAGATCCTCACTGTAAACTCTCAGCTCTGTCTTGCCTTGGAGTGTGACATATCCCATCTTCCATCCAGGATAGAGGAAAGGGAGTCCCTCACTCCTTACTCATCTCTATTCGTTCTTTGAGTTGACCACCAAACTTTCACTGGGTTCTCCACCCACTATGCAGGCCACTGAGATAACACCTGGGACCAAGCTCTCAACACAGATGGAGCAGATGGAAAAAGGACTGGAGATGCTGTCCCCAAACCCTGCTGCTCCAGTCTGATGAGAAGTTGGGTTGAACCAGGACAGTCAACCTCGAGCTCCCAGAGTGTTTTCCTGGAGGTTGGTGATGTTTCTTGCAACACCTCTAAAAGGCCAGTAAGAGAAGCAATTCAGAACTGCCTGCCCCTGCTCAGAGTACCCAGAGGGGTAAGGATAAGTGGAAAAATGAGCTACCTTCTGCCTGTAGACCTTGAAAAGATAGACAAGGATTTATTGAACTCTCAGATGTAGGAACTTTAAAATATCTTCTGCTCCAAGTGTTAAAGCCAGGGCCGTTATACTCTGGAGATCAAGGGAGGTGAGCTATGGCCCATCTTGGGCTGTGAAATATGGAAGCCAGGCCCTAGCACTCCCCAGAGCCCTCTCATCAGTCCAACCCTGACTTATAATGATTTACAAAGTAGTATTTTACCATTCTTGAAAGCACGCAGATGGGATTGTCGGGGGGTGGGGAAAGGAGCACAGATCGTAAATGTCATCTCCCTGAAGCTCTCAATTTCCCAAGTTTCCCTCAGTGGCTGTCTCGTTACCCCTGTCCTCCATGGGTTTGGGTTTCAGCTTTCTGAGAATGGCTAGGAAATGCTGGTGTGAGCACAGGCAGTTCTGAATTGCCTGTTCCTAATTGTACATCCACCTAGAGTGAGCCTCACTGGTGTGACACTGCCACCCGCTCTCTTACCTGATTGGCGTGTGTGGAAGGAGGATCTGGGCATGCAGAGCAATGGCCCTCTCTCTTAGCACTGGCTGTCATAGCAAGCGTGTGTTCTGCTCTCCTACATTCTCCCCCGCCGTGAGGGGTCTGACCCCTAGGGAAGGCTGCAGTGGCCCTATGCTGCTTCTGCCCAGATGGGAAATCTAGCCTCATCCTGAAGTCCTGTAAAAGGAAACCCTTTCCACCCAAGGCTTAAGATACATTTTCCAGTATCTGCTTTGTTGGTAATATTGCCTTTCTATCTGCTCATTCTTGTGTCTTATTTTTTAATTGGCTCAAAACCAAGAGAAAAGGGTGTTATGTATAGCCCCTTCAGATCCCAGGAACTGTGTTTATAGAGAGAGAATTTATTCTGTATCTGAATGAGTGTGAGTGGAGCAAAAAGGTTGAAGTCCCAGTGGAACCAGTTCCCCTAATAACTGCAGAACCCTCTTCCAAGAATGGATCACAGAGGCCTGCTCAGAGGCTGGAGGATGGATGGAATGACCTCGTTAGGAGTGAGGAAGGTCTCCACTTAAACAACATAAACACTCTTGGGCAGACCTATCACAACCCAACCAAATAAATAAAGGAGAAGCCAAGACTATTCAGTGGTCTTTATATCAGCTATTGAACTTCTAGAAGACCACCACCACCACCACCTAATTTCCCTTCACTTTGAGGCCTTGATATTCTGTGACTCCTGGAATGAAAGCCAAACACCAGAATATGAAATAACAGTGCAATTTATTGAGAAAAGAAAGTATGACATACTAATCACCAGAGGCTCCACGGCACAAGGAACTAGGGGACGGAAGTGAGTTGGGATACGATGCCCAGATGTGGAGAGGGCTCCCTGGGAACCAACAGTCTGGAGATCTTGACCATCCAGCCTCCTCAGGAGGGGCTGAGATGTGCTGGCTTCAGACCATCCACTCTCAGTGAGAAAGAGACAGACCAGAGTGGGAACAGCCAGGCTGGGAAGGCCCAGACTGGCTTCGGCTCAGGTGTTGCTGTCCAAAGTAAGGGGCCATCACAGGGGCTCTTCCAGGAGCATCATCATCCCAGACTAGCAGCTGGATCTCCATGGCGCAGGAGAGGTCTTGGGGGTGGAGGAGCCAGGAGGTCAGCCCTTTCTCCGGGGAACTTGAGGGAAAGTGTGGTTGCGCCATGTGTATCTATCCATGCCAGGCAGAGAGGGGGAAGTACTATTGCAGGCTGAGAGGGAAGCAGGCGGGGACGGAAATGTGGCCCAGAGGATCACTTGGAACTGTATTGGCTGGAGCTGGTGGTCTGGGAGAAGCGGACACTGGTGCTGCCCCCACTGCCAGACTTGTAGCCTCCAGAGGTCTGGATGCTGCCGGAGCTGGAGCCCATTCCACTCTGGCTCACGGAGCTGCTGCCGGCACCGCCAAGCCTGCTCCCACTGCTGCCGCTCTGGTAACCACTGCTGCCGCTCTGGTAACCCCCGCTGCTGCCCCTGCCCCCACTGCTGCCACCGCTGACCCCTCCGTAGCCGCTGCTGCTGCCACCGCTGACCCCTCCGTAGCTGCTGCTGCCGCCGCTGACTCCTCCATAGCCGCCACTGCTGCCTCTGCTGCTGCTGCTACCGCCTCTGTAGCCACCACTGCTGCTGCCACTGACCCCTCCAAAGCCTCCGCGGCTACCGCCAGCGCTGCTGCTTGTGCTGGTGACGTTGCTGACCACCGCTGCGGAAGAATAGGCACTCAATTCAGACGAAAAGCCTGGCAAGCCGGAGACCCAGGTCTAACGCAGTCCTGCCCTGCTTGGCTGTGTGACTTAGAGAAAGATGCTAAGCTCCTCTAATTCCTCCGCTAGCAAACAGTGAGAGTGAGCCTGGCCCTTTGCTGCCCTTTCCCAAAAATAGGAACCAAAAGTGTCCACTGAAATTTCGGGTTCTCCAACCTAGGGCACTCCCCAAGACCACGGGGTTTTAGCTTTGGACTAAGAGATTTCCAGGGGCAGTTACACTAAAGGCAGAGTGGGTGGCCGTGGCCTGAGACCCTAGATGCTTTCAAGTGGCCTGGCCTCTTTGAATGGGTCAGGCCCTCTTGCCTGAAGGTCAGTCAGTGAGGATGTTTCTCGTTGCCCTTTTCACAACCCAGAGAGAAATTTTTTGAATGGGTTACTTACAAATGCTCACAGCACTCTGACACTCTCCAGACATCCTGAAAAGGAAGAGAAGGAGATGGGAATTCTTTCTGCAATGAGTCAACAGCCAGAGAGCTGAGGGTTCACATCCTTGGGAGCCATATCCTCTCATTTGCCCTACTAAGGGTCAAGCTCCTGGGAGAAGAAAGGCTGTTTCCAGTCTGTTTCCATGACCTTAGCTTCCCAGAGAAAGGGTGCTGCTTCCGGGATGGAGACTTCCAGGACCTCCACCAACCACAGCCCATTGCTCCATCTTCCTACCCTTTTCCCCATAGCATAAAGATTCCTCCAGGCAAAGTACTCAACTCCCAACCCCAACTTGTCCTGTCCTCACCTCCCATCCCCTGCTGAGACCATCCTCCCACCTTGGCATGCCCTCCCTTTCTTGTCTTCCCAGCCCCGGCTTTATTTCCAACTTTCCCTTTCCAGGAAGCCTTCCCCAGTGAGCCCTCCTGGGGGGGGGGGCGGTGGAGGTGATGGCAGTTACTCAAGGTTACTCAAGGTGGAGAAAATATGAGAGGACCTAACATTCCACACACGATGGATTTGAAATGTCCTGCCCATCCTGTGCCTCTTTCTTGTTCATGAAGCAGACACGTCCATCTAGCTGAGCAGACGTGGAATGTGTCTGCCCACCTTGCCAACGTGTGCCCACTGGTTAACCGCTCTCTCCTCACCCCACGACTCTCGATATACTTAACACCATCTTCACTCTTTTCTATAGAGACTCATAAGAAGTCCTTTTCTTCTCATACTTGGGTCCTGCTGCCTCCATCACACTGTGAGCCCGCCACCCCCACACAGGATGTGTGCAGCAGTGGGTCAGCAGGAAGATCTCTAAATTCTGCACAGTCCTTTAGCATTTGATATCCACTCATTAAGCCTTTGTCTGCCACTTAATGTTGTGTCATTTTCCAGGAATATGTATGTATCAACCCTCTCCCCGGATGGACTCAGCTTCAGGGGTGGGGAGATCGGAGGACTGTCTATACTGAACTTTCCAGTATAGTAGCCACTAGCCACATGAAGCTATTTAAGGTAATTAAAATTAAATTAGATGTAAAACTCAGTTTCCCAGTTGCATTAGCCACATTTCAAGTGCTCAAGTGGTTAATGGCTACTGTATTAGCTCAAGAATAGAATATTTTTGTCACCTCAGAAAGTTCCAGTGAACAGATCTAAAATTTTGTCACAACTCCAAAGCACTTTCCTAACACATTGCACATAGTAGACATTGATAGAGGTAGGTAATGCAATATTGATGTCCAGGATAAATTAGAGAATTGGATCTCAACTAATATAAAACAGTGAGGGCTCAAATCCTTAACTCTGTCATTCAGGAGACTTCTTGCCTTCATCTGAGTGTTCTCCTTCTTATCGTCTTGCCCCCTTTCCTCATTATCAAAGTTCAGTCTCAAATCTTATCTGGAGAATGGTGACCCCATGGCTTCTCACCTGCACTCCTCGCCCTCCAGCAGCTTGCGGTAGGTGGCGATCTCCACGTCCAGGGCCAGCTTCACATTCATCAGCTCCTGGTAGTCACGCAGCAGCCGGGCCAGGTCATCCTTGGCCTTTTGTAGGGCAGCCTGCAAGTCTTGGAGCTTGGCGTTGGCATCCTTGAGAGCCATCTCCCCACGCTGCTCAGCTTCCGCAATGGCCGTCTGCAGGTTGGCATTCTGGAGCAGGAGGTAGAAGATCAATTAGCATAATGGCCAGGAAACAAACATTTGATCTTTTGAGAGGAGATCTCCTCCCCCAATCCAGCATCCCTTCCTTCCCTTCCTCCCCTGCCTTAGAAATCCCAATGGAGCATGCTCAGAAAACAGAAGCCAATTTTGCAATTGATTAATTCATCTTCGGCCCATTGAAATCAACACATGTCTCATCAGGAAAAGGAACACTGATTTGCTTTCCTAGGCTGGTAAAGGAGTAGTGATCTGGTTAGTCTCTGATGTTTTTTGCAAGACTGTTAAAAACTCCTTTGCTTAATCACTCCATTCCAATAATGCAGAGCAGCCATGAGGTTATGTGAAGAGCATGATAAATAGCTTCACTGAGGGCAGATCCTGCTGAGGGCTGTGTGTTTAAGGCCAACACTACAGTTGTAAGATTTGCTGGGCAAACCAGAATGGACCAACACCTCTCCTTAGGGAGCATTCCAAGAATCCCAGCCTCCAGGAGGAACATGTGGGAGAACAGACATTCCCAGAGACTGTGTGACACCATGAAAGGACAGAAACAGCATGTGACAGGAGAGCACAGCTGGTGCTTCTCCTTTTCCCCAGGGCCCAGAAGACCTCCAGGATCTGTCCATTAGACCAAGCCCCACCTGCTTCTTGACGCTCTCGATCTCAGCCCGCAGCCTCTGGATCATCCTATTGAGCTCAGCGATCTCACTCTTAGTGTTCCTCAGGTCATCCCCGTGTCTGCCGGCTGTGGTCTGCAGCTCCCCGAGCTGAAAGCAAACACACCAATCAACATGGTTTGGCAAAATGTAGGCACATGCTTGATGAAGATCACTGGGTCCTAAAACTAGAGCATAGGGACAAGGGGAGGGCTCCCACCTTGGTCTGGTACAGGGCCTCGGCCTCGGCCTTGCTCCTCTGGGCGATGTCCTCATACTGGGCACAGACCTCGGCAATGATGCTGTCCAGGTCCAGGCAGCGGTTGTTGTCCATGGACAGGATGACGGACGTGTCACTGACGTGGCTCTGCATCTGGGACAGCTCCTGCAAGAAACATAGATCGTCACTTTCACCACCCCCTGACCCCAGGAGATGCCAGAATCCTCTACTAGCAGAAATACCCCAAGAATGGGCTAGGAATGGGACACTTGGAAAAATAAACTTACATTTCAGGCCCTGCTATAGCCTAAAAGGATGCCAGAAACATGCAAATATAAACAGGTTGTCAGTCCGAAAGTGTCAGCCAGTGAGGCCTACTGTGTCAGAGTAGGGAGGAGTATGATGAAGAAACTAGCAGTGACACTGGTGTAGAAACCAGACCAAGAGCCAAATGGTCTGAGGACAAAGAGGGACCCTGGCCTGTGGGCCAGGTCTATGCAGGCTAAGTTAACATTTCCTCAGGGGACAGAGATGAGTTCTGGGCCCTATTGCTGGTTTTATGTGTCCTGCTGCTTGACTGTCCCCTAAAGTTACACTTGGGACGCATGCTTGGGAAGATGCAGACAGGAAGGCTCTGGAGCTCGGCAAACTAGGGAATTACCATGTCATAGAGGGTCCTCAGGAAGTTGACTTCATCCATCAGGCTGTCCACCTTGGCCTGCAGCTCCACCTTGTTCATGTAAGCCGCGTCCACATCCTGAAGGGTGGTCAGACCCAAAGAATGACCTCAGCCCCCCTCCCCACCACCGCTCCTTCCTAAGTCTTCATCTCTTCTTTGTCCCTCCCCAGCCCTCCTCCTCACCTTCCCTTTGAAAATGAAGAAAACTATTTTAATTGCTTTGACCAATCAAACCCCAATGCTTTAACAAAATACAAAGCATATTAGCCAGGCACAGAGTAGCCATCTAATTTTAGGGTAGAAAAATCCCATTACCTAATATTTATGTGACTTTAGTTAGGAAGTACCAAAAACCCAACCTCCTGATAGAAATAAGGGTATTCTCATTACTTCGTCTTTATGGTGACTGGTTTAAATGTGCAACAAGTATTTGTTGATTGCTAATATCCAGGGTACATTTGTAGGCTGAAAAACCTTGATTAATGCTGCACACCAGTTCATTAGTTGCAGTGGCATTTTAAGCTATGTCCCCCACGGCAATGTACTTAAAGCAGCTTCCTTCCTCAAACACCTCATTCCCAAAAATGTAAAGAAAAATGTAAATCCTGCACACAGCACAGGATCTCTGTGCCCCAGAGTGGCTGGCTCTGCTCTCCCCATGGGGCAGCTCCCAGAAAGGGAGTGTGGATATGCCCATCCTAGCTTACCTACCTTCTTGAGCCCCACAAATTCATTCTCTGCTGTGGTGCGTTTGTTAATCTCATCTTCATACCTGAAACAGAAAGAGGCACACATTTGGACAGTGATATTTCAGACATGAAAAAAAGAGATGAGGATCCCAGGCACTTGTGCAGCATCTCCTCACCCAGAGGCAGGACCAACTTTGTGGGCATGTGACCTGTGGAGTTACACAAGACCCTGGGCTCAGACAGTCCCCACACTCGGCCGAATGCTCTGCTGGCACCATCTTGAAATTCTTTATAGTTTGTTAACAAGGGCCCTGTATTCTCATTTTTCACTGAGCACTGCAGATTATGTAGCTGGTCCTGCCCAGAGAGCTTGCAGAGTCAGGGCACTGCCTTGCCCTCCTTCTTCTAAACCCCTTGACAGGCAGTGGTGTGAGTAGTCAGGGCAAGGGAAGACTTCAAGGAACCTGACTACCTGCCTGGGCTCTTTGATTGACCTCACAAAGCACCATGTGTGCCGAAGGGACCCAAAGAGATATTTGCTCTCACCCAGTGTTTCTGCCTCTGTTTTCTCTGTTTCTGTTTTCCTTAACGACAGTTGCTGCTGCTTATAAGAATTTGGGATAAAAATGAACTCAAGCTTTCTGAATGCATCAAGGCTGTGGGAGTCCTGCTTGTTAAGGACTAAAATCTCTTACCAGCAGTTTGCATTTCATGAAGGTTGGAGAATTGGAATGATTCTGGGAGAAAAGAGGTTTCTGGGCAATGTGAAGCTGAGTGGCTCTGGACTCCCAGAGCCCAGTTCGGAGCCTGCCATAGGGTGGGTGCCCACTGGGTCTGTACAGTCGGATGGGAATGGGGCCTCCCAGAGCAGGGTACCTACCCTGGGGGTCCTGATCCCTGGAAATGTCTGGAGCTCCCTCTCACCTTGAGAGGACCAGTTTACCTCTCACAGACCTCAGAGAATGTGAACTGCAATTTGGAACGTGCAGGAGAGACCTGACAAAGCTTCAGAAACAGGAGGTTGGAAGGGACACATTGAAAGTGCACTTTACCAAATGCAGCCCTGGACCATCTGCCCAGCATCCCCAGGAGCTAGGGAGCACTCAGGCTCCTGAGACCTGCCCCACACCTGCTGATTCAGAATATGGGAGACTGGAATGCAGGAATATGCATTACTGACAAGCTTCCAAGGGGATTCCTGTGTGCAGTAAAGTGTGGAGGGCTCCCCATCCTAAAGGGCTCTAAACTCTGGAAGGACTCTTTTGTCCATCTGGGCTGGAATGGGAGGGGGCCTGCCTGGAGACTGGAAAATATGTAATAATCAGCCACATGGAAGTCGCAGTCCCCATCTTCTCACCCCCTTGTATGTGGTCACACTTCACTCAATAAGCCCAGCCCAGAGTATTGACTGAAGGTACAGTCAGGAACAGTCAAAATCCCAATTAGGACCACACCTCCCTGCTAATCCCCCAGAAGGAGAAACTCCCTCGTGGGAGCCCTCACTTCTTTTTGAAGTCTTCCACCAGGTCCTGCATGTTCTTCAGCTCTCCCTCCAGGTTCCCCCTCTCCCCGAGAAGCGAATCCAGCTGCTTGCTCAGGAAGCTGATGTAGGATTCAAAGAAAGGCTCCAGGCTGCTGGGGCCCGAGCCGGAGCCTGTGGTCTGCTGCTGGAGCAGCTCCCACTTGGTCTCCAGGACCTTGTTCTGCTGCTCTAGGAACCGCACCTGCGTCAGGGGAGGGAGAAAAGGAGTCAGCCTCTTAAGTTGGGCACCTGGGGCCACCAATCCCAAACAATGGAAATGTGGAGAATAAACCCAGGTCTTCCTTCAATCTGCAATTGGTTACCTCTGTTTTCTGGAATTTGGGACGAATGAGCATTTAGAAAGGGAGAGCTAGAACCTGTTGAGCGCTTGTGTTATATTTGTATGTTCATATATTCTATCTCAATCCTCACAACCACCTGCAAAAAAGGTGTCATGATCCTGATTTTGTAGATAAGGAAAGTGAGGCTCAAAGAGTTTCAGTTGCCCAAAGTGACATGTCTACTAAGTAACAAAGCTAAGAGTCAAATCTGGGACTGTCCTAGGTGTGTTTTTAGATATAAGCTGTTTTCAGCTCCATAAAGGCAGTGAAGCCAGTCTTTAATGAAAAGGGTCTAACACTTCTAACTAACTTTAGAAGTTTCATATATGAAGACCTCCTTTCAGTTACTCAGCTTGCAGCTGACCTAGGCTTCACTTCTATCCTGGACTTGCTCCCCACAGACTCAGCACACCCGCCCCCACCCCAGCGTGGGCAGCTCAGGTTAACATTGGCTGAAGAGCAGCATCGTTTGCAAGGTAAGTCGGCTGCCAATACTCGCCATTTAGAGGTAGTTCCAAGATCTGTACCACTGTAAGTTTGATTACCAGCTAGTTTGGATTATCAAGCATGGCTTTTCAGGAGGAATTGAAAGTTAACTGCACTATTTCGTGACTAATGCCCCATTCTTCAGAGCTATGAGCGTGTTTGGACCCTCACCTCATTTTCCCTTGTTTCACTCCTAGAAGGACATTAGGACCCTTTCCCCATTTCACAACTGGGAAAACAGGGCCCAAAGAGCAAGAGAGACATGCTGCTCACTGTCCTGTAGGGACCAAGGCAGAAACAGGACCAGAGCCAGGCACCTCTGCCTCCATGTCTCACAGGTCCCCCTGGCATCTTCCTATCCAACCCCTTGGGCAGCTCGAACTCTCCACAACACCTCTGTGCTTTGCCCTCACCTTGTCAATGAAGGAGGCGAACTTGTTGTTGAGGGTCTTGATCTGCTCCCGCTCCTGGGCCTTTACTTGCCCAATCTGGGGGTCGATTTCCACATTGAGGGGCTGCAGGAGGCTCTGGTTGACAGTCACTTCCTGGATTCCCCCAGGGAAGCCACCAGGACCACCAAACCCACCAGGACCACCAAAACCTCCAGAACCACCAAAGCCACCAGCTCCTCCAAAGCCACCAGCTCCTCCAAAGCCACCAACCCCTCCAAAGCTACCACCTACTCCTCTGCCACCACCAAAGCCACCACCAAAGCCACCTCCATAACCTCCCCCAAAGCCACTTCCATAACTGCCCCCAAAGCCACAGCTGCTACGCCCTCCACCAAAGCCACCAGCCCGGGAGCTACCACCTGCCACACTGATGGAAATGCTCTTGTTGCCTCCCAGGTTGTAGAGGCTGCGACTGCCAAAACCACCTGCTCCGCTCCGGAACCCACAGGCCCCTCCGCTGGCTCCCCCAGAGCGGGCCACACAGCTCATCCTGGTGCTGCCGGAGACCACAGCGGAGCGGCCGGAGAAGCCCTGGCTCCCGCCACTGAAGGATTTCTTGCAGATTTGTCTGTTCATGGTGAGAGAGCTTGGAGGTGAGTTAGCGATCACTTAGCAGGAGCGGAGAGGGATGAAGACAGAGGATGAGGACGACAGAGGAGACTGGCCTTTATATACCAGGGAGCCTGGCTTGGCAGAAGGAGAGGCGAGCAATTAGTTGAGAGTCATCTTGGGTTTGGCTTGCCTTGCAGGCAATAAGTTACTCCTTGGTTCCCAGCACACCTCAAAGATAATCCTCTGGGCCAAAATGGCTTTGCTTTCTTAGCTTAATCACCCAAACTTGCCTCAGTTGACAAAATGCTGGAGCTCCTCCCTCCCCTTATGTGATTTCCTCAAGGGTCTTAGGGAACCCAAGCAGCACCTGTTCCAGCAGGATGAATTGGCTTTAGACACCAGGGGATTAGGAGGCACTGAGCAACATGACACAGAGGCTGAGGACAGCACAACCTCTTCCAGGTGGGCTGGGTCCTTCCCCGCAGTGCCACCATGTCCAGGGCTCCCCCACTGGCTGAGCCTGTTTCTCCCATTGTTGGGCATTGTCTTCTGATGGCATTTCACCTATGCCCAACACCTCAGAAAGGTGCTGGAGTAGGGGTGAGAGGTAAGAGGTGCACTGACTCCACAGGGTCCACTCTGCCACGACCCCAGCCAAAGGCATCCATCTAAGCAAGCCTGGACTCTGAGCTGAGAAATGCTGCTTATGGGAAAGGAACTAATGTGGAACTAACATGTTTGGACCATGGGAAAAGGGAGGCTCATGACATGTAGCAAACAAGTGTGAGGCTTGGGAAGAGGAGAGGACATGCATGGGGTGGGGGTGGGGGGCGTCTCAGACCAAGCCCCCCACCCTCCATCCTACACTAATAGCAGGTGATTTCTAGATCCAGGAGCAGGAGGGGACAGAATGAGAGGACATTTCACCTGACTGGTAGAGTCAGCTCAAGGGTCCCACTCATCTTAGGATGGGAGTGTGTGTCATGTCTGGGCCCTTACTCAGATCTGGTGGGTAGGATCTCCTCCTTGCTCTACCACCTGGTCTGGGTCCGACACCCCTCCCTGTTTTCCCACCCTGTACTTTCCCCATCACAGGCCTGGCAAAAAGTACACTTGCCTGTTTACTGATCAGTACCCCCGTATGCCCTGAGCTCCTCAAGGGAAGGGCTTGAGTCCTACCCATGCTGAATGTCCAGCTCCTAGCACAGGGCAAGTACAGCACAAATGTGTGTTGACTGACTGATGGCCAATATCTAAGAGTATAATACCTAGACCCAGCTCCCACCCCAGTCCTATGAATGAAGATCATAATGTTTGTATTTTTAATAAGCCCTCCCAGTAATCCTTATGATCCAGGAAATTTGGGAAGCCCTGGTCTAGACCCAGGATGTTCCATCTGGGCCAGAGTGGGAGGATGGAGGACCCCTGATGGCAGAACGGACACACACATGAATCACTGCTCTCACTTCCAAGAGCTTGCCCATCCCCCACCCCCATGCCAACCCACCTCCACACCCACCCACACCACACGTGGCAAGAGCAACTTCTCAGGTTGTCGTCTACGTAGGAGATTTTACACGTATGACAGGAGCAGGAGGGACTGATTCTAGACTCCCCAAGAAATAGGTGGTGGGATATCTCCAGAATTCCAGTCAACTTGGCAGTGAACACTCTGTCTCTCTGGGATGTTTCTGGACAAGCCAGTGGAGGGCAGAGGACTGGTCTGAAAGACCATGAGGGACGTCGAGGTGCGTGGCTGCAGGTGCTCTGCCGCTCATTCCCGATTCCCCGCTCTGCAGTGTGCCTGGCGTCAGTCCGCCTGGTTAGATCCCAGCTCCACTACTCACTAGATCTTCGACCTTTGGACAAGGTACTTGACTTTATGTGTCAGGTTTCATCAGCTGTAAAATGGGGCTGATAATAACAGGTACTTCACGGGGTTGCTGGAGCATTAAACAAGCTCAATAAATGTAGAATGTTAAGTGAAGTGCTTGACGCCTGGCGAGCACCGTGCAGTTGGCAACCAGAAGGACTCTGTTTGGGGGCAGGGGGAAGGGAATGACATATTTGGCCCCAGCTGTTATCAAGATGACTCGGTACCCCTGAGAAACTCACCTGAAAGGATGGTAAGGAAAGGAAGCTGAGTATGAGTGGAGAGTAAGAAACCCAGCCTGGGACAGAAAAGTGTGACACCTCCACTCAGATGGAGTTGGGTTGGGTGACCTGAGGCCACAATTGAACACATTAATTCTGTGCTCTAATCTGTCTAACTCTCTCCTACCTCATTGGCTTGTGGTAAGCCTTACGGGATAGAATATAAGTGAAATTCCTCTGAAAATTACAAAGTGACACACAGGAGTAAGGTAGCTGTGTCTAATAAAAGGCCTGTCAAGATGGAGTTCCGAGACCTGGGCTCAAACCCCATGTCCACCTCTCACTGTGTACTGACCTTGGACAGGGGAACTTGACTTTTCTATTTCCTTATTTGTAAAAGGAAGCATCTACCCTACTTGCAGCATTGTTTTGAAATTTAAATATATCGTGTCCAACAATAAATGTTTGGATTTTTAAATCAACATTATTTAGATTTTTAAACCTAAAAATCAACATTATTAGATCAATGATTAGATTTTAGATCAACATTATTAGATTTTAAATAACATTATTAGATTTTTAAGTCAACATTATGTATCCATAGACAATCCGTGAAGGGGATTCTGTGTCAGGTTCTTCCTTGTGACATTACTCCACCCGTCGATTGAGTGCCAGCCCTTCCTGGTGAGGTCTTTACTCATATTCTTTGGAATTCCTTTAAAAACGGAAGATCAAATGCCCTTCCTGGGAAGAAAGCTGAGCCAGGATCACCTAAAGGCCCCGGAGAGATCCCAAAGCAAACAAGAGCAGACATCGGTGTCTCCGGTTGCCTCCCCTCCCTTGGCTCAGGTGCTGAGGCAGCGGGTGGCAGCCTCCTAAGTGTGGCTCATCTCTGCCACCCTGGCAGGGGCCAGGGAAGCGTGAGGGAGAGAGTTATGAGCAGATCACAAAAGCGCAGGCCTGGGTTGGGTTCCCCTAATCCATGTCGCCTGAGCCTGCCAAAGCAGCACCTTATTTAGCAGGGCAGGGTCATCTTCTCAGCATTTAAATGGAGCTGCCAGAAATATCCAGAGTTGCCATCCTTGGCAAGATTTCTCTTATTCACTGTAGGACCTTTTAGAATAGTGTCTAAATGGGCCTCCTGCTGCCGGCAGTCTGAGTTCTAATCCCCCACCTGCCAGAACCTTCTGTGTAAAGGTTGCCAGGTGGCTGAGCACTCTGGGTCCTTATTTCCCCTCCGACAAAATAGGGAGATTGTCACCAAATACTGTCATTCCCTCTATCCAAATTGCTCTCTGGTATTCAACCACAGTGAGAAGGCTTAAGAGTTGTCAATGATAATCGTGAGTGGAAGAACAAATTGTGAGACAGTAGTCATTGCCTCTAGGTCAAGGTGAGCAGACATCCCTCTCCATGCAGGATCTACTGAGAATGAGGGAGTGATATATGTGTAGGTTCACAGATCTCATTTTCAAGATAATCACTAATTCTCAAAAAAAATGAAAATAACAAAAAAATGAACAGTCACTATGGGTATGCCACCCCGGCTAAGAATTAGCATTCTTTGCTCCTTTTTATAATGTTGAAACAAAAGCTTATCACTACTGAAATAACTTCAATCAATGAATAATAAAAATATATTACTATATAGAGCAAGCTCACTTTATAGCTAAAGCTTGATAAAGAAGTAAACATCTAAGTCCAACTAAACTTTTGTTGCTAAGTCTTAGCTGTTAGCAATCACAATTTATTCTAATTCTGATCTTGTCTCTATACTTGATTAAAACACACTTCAAATCACCCCTATATCTTTGTCTGGTACTTGGATCTCTCCCCATGCTTATCTAGGGCAGAATTCCATCCTTCAAAGTGGCCTTGATTAAAAGGCTCTGTGAATTAAATTTGAAAAATGAAAAGTCTATAGCTCTTTTTATTAGGATTTTAATAAAGTTCTTTAGCACATTAAAGGCCCTAAGAGGTCCCATAGAAAATAATCTTTTTACCTTTATTTAATCAGAGCTTCCCAAACAAACTTAACAAGATCTTTCTATCTGAACCCCTCCCTATAACATGCTGTTGAATGTACTTGGAGAAACTCTAGTCCCACTGACCATCCGGGATGGATGAGAATACACAGCTAGCCCAGTCAGGGAAGTGAGGCCATACAGCCAAGAGGAAGCTCTTGTTCCGGGTGAGGCGGCAGGAAGCTGAGAGAAGATCAAGGCCGAGCTCAAAGAGGGAGGGACAAGGGCAGTGGGACCCTGGAAAGGTCTCTAAAGACCAATTCTCCCTCAACATATATTTCTCACCAGTTGTGGATCTTGCTGGTTCTTTCCAAAAGCCGTCAATCTGTCCTTGGCATGCTAGATTTTCCAGAACTCAAATGACTGCATCCTCTCCCTCTCTTCCTTTGCAACTTGAAGGAGTGGAAACCGTGGAGGCATTGAAGTTAGGCAGGCCTGTGTTCAAATCCCAGGCTTTCTAGTTGCATGACATCAGGCAGGTTGTTTTACCCTCTGGGCCTCAGTTCTGGTCTGTAAATTGGAGTTAGCACAGCCTCCTCACAGGGGTGCCGTGGGGACTGTAGGAGGTTATATTAGAAAGTCCTTGCACAGGGCAGGTGTCGGCACACGGCAGCACTTGTGATGATGACCATGTGTGAAGTCCTCCTAGAAGGTGTCAGTTTGGAGGCTGTTGAGGAGGGAAGAGTCCTAAAGGGTAGCCCAGTTCAGAGTCAATGAAATGTTGAAGTCTATGATGGTTTTTGCAACAAGTTGCCAGGAATCATGGCATCTGTATAAGAAGTTCCATAAAAGCAGTTTTCCATGCATGGCCAAGTGTTTCCCACCACAGGGGCTCATCAGTAATGCAACCTATCGACCAACAAAAATTTATTGAGCTACTGCACACTTCCCAGAAGTGTGGGGACT